CCTTTCTGCAGGCTGATGTTTAGATGATACCATTCCAAGACCATGCTCACCAGCAGCCCACAGAACAACCAAGCTACTCACCCTCAGTAGCAAGCACTGTGTGATCGATCTCCTTGCCATGAAAGAAAATCAGGGGCTGGAGAGATGGCTCAGTAGAATAAGCGCTTCCCTGGCAAGTGCAAGGGCCTGAGTTCAATCCCCGGTTCCACCAAAAAAAAAAAAACAAAGAAAAGAAAAAAAAAGAAAAGAAAAGAAAGAAAAAAGAAAATCAGTATGTTGAAGAGATAGCTGCCTACCCATGTTTAAAGAAGTACTACTCACAATAAACAAGATAAAGAATCAACATAGATGTCCAAGAGCATGAATGTATAAAGAAAATGTGGAGTATACACCCAATGGAATATAATTCAGTCATGAAGCAAAATTCTGTCATTTGCAACAGCATGGATAAGGCTGGAGGACATTATGTTAAATGAAATAATCCAGGTTCAGAAAAAGAACACATGACTTCACATAGGATACAGAAACTAAAATATGCCCTGTCCATGAATTGGGGTCTCCAGCAACTGCCCCAGCTACCTACAGCCAGGAAAGGAGGAGCGCATGCCCCCTGATGGCTGTGAGGACTCAGCACAGGAGGTGTTCAGTTCAGTGGGACATGGGCGCCACCTCCTGACCTTGCAGTAAAACAAAAGAATCTATGTCCAAATTTTTCAATGTCATAATTTTAGAAATTCTAAGTGAAACTCATTCTTTATCCCAAAATTGTGATGAAGCAAGTGTTTTGGACCCATACCAAGTGAAAGTGTAAAATATTTAAAACTTTAATCCTCTAATAGTCAAACTGAACATCATCCTTAATCTGATCCAAAACGCTAACTGTAACCCCAACCTTAACCCTACATCAACCCTAACCCAAATACCAACTCCAAGCTGAATCCTAACCATAATCCCAATCCTAACCCAAAAACCCAAGCCCTAACATGAACACAAGCGTTAACCTAAACCATAACCTGAATCTGAAAACTAAACCTTTAACTGAACCAGAATCTAAGTCCTAACCCTAAACCTGACCCTAAGCCCTAAATATAACTAACCCTAAACCTTAACTACTATCTCTGAAATAAACCCTAGAAATCTCAAAGCCTGGAAATAACCAAATACTCAATGCTAATCCAAACTGTAAAAACAGCACCAGCCTTCGCCCTACTATAACATCCTATCCCTAAGGCTAACCCTAATCATGTCTAATGCTAAGTCTTAAAATAGCCCCTAGCCATAACTCTAACCCTAAACCCTCACCCAACCTTAACACTAACCCTAGCCCCAGCCCTAACTCTAACTCCTAAACCCTATTCCCAATCCAAACCCTAACCCAAACCTTAACTCTAACCCTTACTCCTAAATCTAATCCTGGGAAATGCAGATAATCCTTGCCGTGTCCAGAATAGCACCATAATACAATGAACATGGGTAACACTCATTGTGTTTTTCAATAGGGAAAGCTGCTTTCCCTCAGAAACTGCATGTGAAAATACAGGCTTCTATCCTCTCAGGGTATTCCCCACCCTATAAAGAGCTGTTGGGCTTGTGACAGTTCCAATACGATGGGAAATCACAGTAACTAGCAGGATGCTGATCTGATTGAAGACAGTTAAGGGCAGGAGGGAGGAAGGAAGAGAGGGAGAGAAGGGCAAATCAGCAGGCTGGATAGCACACTGCTTTCCTAGCAGTGATGGACAAACTAAGCAGTGGTAAAACCTTGTTTGGGTTTTTACCAATTAATGGACAATATATGGTGACCTGGCCACACATTCCAGGAAGACAATGAAACCTGGCCTATTAGAAGGGTCATTTACAGGACCCACCCCTATGGAAACATCTGGGGTGCACTTAAGTGGCACACGTTGATGCTTCCCATATCTGCAAGGTGTCAAGGTAAACAACTTGGCATTCCTGTGTACTCACTTCAGGTGGTCATCTGGGACTATAAAATTGGTGGCCTCAGGGCACTACATCAACGCAGAAGTTGGGTGAATCTAGACATGTTCCTCTTTCACTAAGGGCTATTTTGTATATCATCATGGTATGATGGCCCTGGATGGCTACCTGGATTTCCCCAAGGGGAAAGCCCTGAACAGACTTGGCAAGTTTGACTGATACTAGGGGCCCTGGGGGCTAAAAATGGATAGGAACAAACACTAGCCTGAACTTGGCTTTGTTTACCCTGTGGTGACAAAAATGCTAGGACTGCCATAAAAGAACTAGTATAAGGATTATATTTTTCCTACATCATCTCAATATTTTTCAGCGGATCCTCAGACTAGAACTGCAACTATAAATGATAGGAACAAGGAAGATTCCTAAGTGAGAAAGTGAAACTATGTTTATAAGAACAAAGAATTTCAACATAAGTGTGAGGGCTAGGAGTGAGGGTTCAGTATGCAAAACATCCTGGGTTCAGTTCCCAATACTAACAACAACAAAAACTAAAGTAAGAAATAAGAGTGGGTTGTGCCTTCACTGTATCTCCTGTTAATAAAAACAGCTCTTCAGTTATGCACCTACAGAACTTTACTCCGTGGAGAAAGAAGTTGACTGAAGGGAAGGTACTTGCTTGCACTGCTGCCTGGTGTTTATGATCAGATTATGAACAGCATACTCTTTACTATACAAACGAGAGAACTACTGTGATGAAAGAATGCTGGAAGTTTTACTCAGAGCACACAGATGACCCAGCAGTCTTCTCTGAGGAGTATCTCTGTCCCAAAAGGCAGCAAGAGGTCCTGCCACAAATACAAAATGGCACATTGCTAGTACATCATTTGATCATTAATAATTACTCCAGTACACCATCAAATCCTATGAGGATCTCTCCCAGGGGAAGTCATTTATGCTTATGGATTTCCAAAGACAAGAATGATCTCGGCATCTCAGGAAACAGCTTCACCCTACAATAGAGAAAACAGAACTTGCCCTCAACCTCATAACTTCAAAATTATGACAGACCCTATGACAGAAGACAAATTGCAGAATACAGTCCAGAGAACACCCTTCTCAGCCTCTCAAAGTGGGCTGGTCCCAAGACAACCACATAGTACCTGTCCCAGTGAGGGTTCAACCTCTCAGCCTGAGGAGCCACACTACACTGCAGGGCCATGACCTGCCCACCTGGCTCTCCCTAATATCATGGCAATGTGTAATGCAAAGCAAGAGAGATAGTCACCAGATACCTAGAGGCCATTCAGCACCCCTCCTCTCCCACCCACCACATCCTAGCAATTTTACCTCCCAAATGTCTTTCAGTTCACAAGCCACACAGCACGGCTCCTGTGCTTGTGTGGCAGCCTCTCCAGGAACCTAAATCTGCAAATCAGGTCACAGGCTCCTTCCTTCAAATTTAATGAGCACTCTATGCTCAGAATAAAAGTGAAACTCCACTGGGGCCCCCGTGCTTCTTCTGTGTCACCTAAGAAAACTCCTTTTTACTTCATAATCCTTTCAGTTCATAGATATTTTGGTCAGAAAGTCCACACGTGGCTCTTCCTCTGTCCCTCAAGCATTTTCATTTGCAATCTCACAGCAATCAGCCCGATGGGAGGGCATGGTGGCTGCAGCCCCTAGGAAAGGTCCAGCCCCAGAGTTAATCTAAAAGGTGCCTGTTAGGGCCCGCCAAATGGCTCAGTGGATTAAAGCACCTGCAAGCAGGTGCAGGGGCCCAGGGTTCAATCCCAGGGCCTGCCATGCCCCCTGCCACCCCACCCTCGTGCACACTGAGACGGTGATTGAGACTGGGCTGGGCGTGGTGGCACGGGCCTGTAATCCTAGCTCTCGGTAGGCTGTAAACAGGCGGATCACTATGAGTCTGATATAGTGGTGAGACCCTGAACACCCTGTAGACCCTCCCCTAAAATTTAAAAAAAAGTTTTTTTTTTTTAAGTAATTAAGTAAAAGGTGCCTGCTGAGGAAACCAGTGACCACATTAGGAAGGGGGGTGTGGCTCCTACCCTAATTCTTGCACAGCTGTGGCCATCCAGGTTCTTGGTTAGTAACAAATGTCCACCTGAGTTACAACCTGTAGTGCTTTCCTGATTACACTGACTCAAGCATGATACAGTCAGAGAACAGGCAGTGTCCTGGGCCACCGCCTGCTCCTCATTAAATGATAGTTTGTTTTCTTCTGGAACTTAAAGCCATTTTTGTTATGAACCATGACTTCACGTGGACCACAAATTCCCAGTAGGTAACTAAAAACACAACAAAATTTGACTTTAACTCTGTACCCTTTGTTGGTATATATCTTGGGTCAAATCTTCTCCCAGCTCTGCATAAGGGAACCTTGATCATTTAGGAGCTGACGGGACTGGGCTGATTACACTAAATTAACATGCTCTCATCCCCCCTTCAAGACCGAGGATACCATGAGATCTACAGATGTTCAGCTACACCCAAGTCTCCAGCTACCGTCCCAAGCCTGCGATCACCTAAATTCCAGGGAAGACAGAGGACGCAGGGAAGGCGGAGTGTGACCGAGACCACTGCCTTTTCCTGGACGCAAAACTATCTCTCAGCTATAGATTCCAGAACTATGACACCAGGACTGAGATAATGATGAACCGGACCTCAGCCAGTCTGCTACTTCTTGAACGCTGGCCTCCCGCTTTTGTGAGTGGACCAGTCTGAACCCGTCTCAGAGCGTGGCCCCTCCATCCACGTAAGCCAGAATCCTTTCGCATCTTCCCATTTTCCAATTAAAGCCTTTTTCCTATTAATTTGTGCTTTAGTTTTAATTTGCATTTCTCCTAACGCTAGGACCTACAATAGCCCGTGACTATACGCCTCCCAAAAGCGATTACCCACCACCATAGGACGAGGAGGCGAGGACTAGGAGGCGAGGACTGGGACGCGCACCTCCCTCAGTGCCCCACCCCCAGGGGGACGCAGTAGAACCCGGATGTCCCCTCACGTCCGCCAGTCAGGCACCGCGCTAGTCAGCCCGCACACCGGCGGGGGCCTTCGGGCCTTCAGCGGGACGCCTCTCCCAGGGTCCTTCGGTGGTTGCGTAGCAGCTGCCGGAACGCGGCAGCCTGGGAGCGGAGTGGGCGTGGAGGGAGGCCTGTGGGATCTGTCCGGTGCGTGGTGTCTCTGGTCTTTCCAGCTCTGACGCGGGACCGCGCTCAGCCTGTGTCGTTCGCTTCCGAGGCTGCCGGTGGGCCCTGGCGGAGGGGAGGGAAGGAGCCGGAAAATTCCGGCTGTGTAGAGCGCGTTTGCTGGGCGTGGTGGGTGCCTAGAAGTGTTTGTCGAATGAAAGAGAGTGTGCACCCTGGATCGCGACGACGGCGACAGCCACTGAAGGTGTCCGAACGTGGAGCGACAGCCCAGGTTTGGCTTTTGAATGGGTCCCATGTCTATAGATCGGAAGGGGGATAGCCGTCACGTGCTGCTGCCCAGCGCTGTGCAGTAAGCGCAGAGGCAGTGGCTGTGACGTGCAGGAGCCTCGGGGCCCTTCGGCGTTTTCTGCCCCTCGCCCGCCCGAGTGCGTAGCTCTGCCTTAGTCCTTACTGCCCCAGACTGCCTAGGTCGTCATTCTTGGGACTGTTTGCGGGGTCTTACTTGGGTTAAGGGAAGAGCAAGAGGCTGAAGATGTTACACATAGGTGCTGAGGCTGGGCGGTGGTGACGTACAGCTGGGAATGGGAGGACCTGCGTTTGTTTTGGCAGGACTGAAGTATTCGTGTTCAGCATATAGCTTATGCCTATGTCCCTAGTCTCCCAGGGAGCAACTGAGTATCTGAGCCGTACTAAGGGAAGTAAATCTCTGTAATTACAATGTGGCACTGTCAGCATTTAGCAAATGCTTGAAATGAGTAAAAGTTAAAAGCATAAAGGGGGTGAGGAATATCCATGTTGAGAGAGGGGGATGCACCTTGTAATTGTGGCAGGTTAGAAGATGATGGGGGAGTGAGGGGTGAGAGCACCTGGCGTGAATGTGTGTTAGGCCTCCTTGGTTCTGTGGTCTGTGTTATTTAGTGATGAGAGCTTAGGCTGTTTTTGTGACGTGGACACTACTTTTCCCTGTTTTTATTTTATTTTATTTTTATGTATTTAGTACAGGGTCTACAGGTCTCACTACATAGATTGGACTCTTAGTGATCCTCATGTTTTCAGCCTCCCAAGCACTGGGATTACAGCACCACCACACCCAGTCTCAGTCGGGTCTCAGCATGCCCAGGGGGCAGGCCCACTCCCACCCTGCATGCTGGGGATCAGACCTAGTCATTACGTCTGCATAAGCAGGCGCCTTAGTCCCCTGAGCTATCTGGCCGGCCCTTGTCAGTGTTTTACAAGTGAGAAGACATCTGTTGAATTTATAAAACTCCATCATGTTAGGTGAAAGGTGTGATGTGAGGACAAGGTTACAACCTCAAAACTCAGCATGTGTCAGCCAAATTGGAACACTGGTGGTGAGTAGAGAAGAATGATATCTTAGGGCCCATCTCTTCCAAACTTCTTCTGTTCAGGAGGAGAAAGAAGAGGTTTGGTGGAAGGGACTTCTCATCTCTAAAAGCAGCTTCTTGTTGACTTTCCCAAATAGTGACAGACCCAGTGGCTGGGCTTCTCTTGCAGCCAGGAACCAATGGCAGAGGACAGAACCAAACCCCATGAGCTGGACCACGAAAAGTATGATGCTGACAACAGTGTGAAGATCATCTGCCTGGGGGACAGCGCCGTGGGCAAATCCAAGTATGTTGGGAGGTCAGGGAAGAATGGTCAGATCCAGAGTAGATCTGAACTCTTAGAAAAGTCCTCCAGAGGCACAGAAGGTCGTGGCTTCCGTGGGGTGATGAGGGAGGCGCCTCGCTGGAACAGACATGCGTGGCGGAACAGAGAGACCGTCTCAGCATCTGTGTCTGGTGAGCACGTGGGGCAGAGATCACAGGACTGAAGAATTGGAATGTTGTCTGAACCCTCACAGAAGGTGTAAAGCAGGTCATTTTGGAGGTTGTTCAAAGAGTCAAGAGTGAGGAAGTGAGAACTAGTACTCCTGGGCGTGGTGATGTGCATGGTGATGGAATAACGGATTGCAGGGCATGGGGCAGTGGGAATGGAGAGAGGAAAGAGATGGGTTGACCAAAGCTGGTAATGATACTTGCTTGTGGAACTCACTAAGACTGATGTGTGGATAGCAGTGATGATTAACTGTAATAATTACAAAAATTGGCTTATTCTTCTGAGTTCAGTGCCTGCGTCATCAGGTGGGAACTCTACCTGGAGAAAACTCCCATCAAGAGGCAGATCAAGGCCTGTCTTCAACGTATCTGGGGGTATCTGTTGCTCTGCAGCCGTGGTTACACCCATATTCTTGTAATTCAGAAATTTACAGTAATGGCAACACCAATCACCAGGCTTTAAGATGTCATTTTTTCTTATACAGAGCATTCATCTTTCTTGATCTCATTTTCTCTGTGAGTATTCCAGGGCTGCATTGAGCAAGCAGTGACATAGCTTCCCATCTCCCCTAAGCAGGCATCCAAAGAGTGGGTGTTGCTTCCTGGCAAGGGCTCTTCATTCTTGTACGTGCCACCTTCCTGCAATGGTGGCTGTTGAGGAGTCCTAACAACATTGGAGCCAGCCAGCTTGGACCCCTTTAGTGGATTTACTGCCCAGATGCTGAATACTATCATGGTCAGACTGTTGGAAGTAGATAAGATCCCACCTTTGTCCCTACTTGGCTTAGTTCACTTGTCATAATGCTGTCAGGGTTGATCCATGTTGAATAATGGATCTTAACCAGAACTTCAGTTCTCTTTTTGACCCAGTAGTATTTCATTGTTTATATATGCCAGTTTTTTATCAGTTTGTCTTGGTTACTTTTCTTTCCTTGTTGGGACAAAATATCCAACACCCAGAATTAAGGAAGGAAAGTTTATTTAGCTCACCGTTTGTAGAGGTTTCAGTCCATACTCTGCTGGCTCTAAGGCTGAGTGACACATGGAAGAGGGCAGCAGTTCATGGCTGTTGAAAACAGCAAAGAGCAAAGGGAGGAGCCGCAGCTGCTGCAGCTAGCAAGCCTCTCTCCCTCCCTTATACTGTATTCAGGTTATTGGCCCAGGGTGGGTGTAGCACTCACTCACACCCATAATCCCAGCATGGATCATGAGTGAATCACAAGCTCTAGAAGCCTGCCCCAGTGACTGCATGAGGCTTTGAGGAGACACCTAGACACAAACCATAATGCCATTCATCTGTTGATGGACCATATATGTTGTTTCCACTTTTTTAAATGCTGCTGTGAATACAGGTATACAAGTATCTGTTGGGTCTCTGTATTCAAGTTTTTTGGCTGTGTAGCTACAAGTGAAATTGCACATGGTAATTCTGTGCTTAATTTTATGAGGAGCCAACAAATTGTTTTCTACAGTTGCTGCACAATTTCACATATCACTAATGATGCACAACAGTTCCAGTTTCTTCACTACCTCACCAACACTTATTTTTCATTTTTGTGGCAAAAGCCGTTCTAATGGGTGTGGAATGGTAACTAAAAATATCAAAGTCTTAGACAATATAGGAACAGGCCGAAGAGATAGCTCAGTGGACTAAGCACCTGCTTCGCAAGTGCAGGGACCAGGGTTTGATCCTGGTCCTACACACTGCACTGGACCCGCCCCTGGGACACACTGAGCCAGCAGCTGAGATTACAGGTGTTCACCACCACACCTGCACGCCATCACCAGGCTCAGCATGCCCTGGGGGCAGGCCAGCACACATGTGGTACTGAGATAACTGAAAGTTTGTTACTTTTGTTGTTTCTAGAGAAACAACTTTTGATTTTATTGATTTTTCTCTATTTTTCTGGTTTGTTTACCTCTGATCTTTTTGAGAGACAGGAAGTACTGGTGAATGAACTCAGGGAGCCAATGAGTACTAGACTAGAAGCACTAGACTAGCACTAGAAGGGCCCCAGCCCTTCCCTTGTTTGTTTGTATTTATTTATTTATTTGTATTAAGGACAGAGTCTACAGGGTCTCACTGTGTAGATTGGACTCATAGTGATCCTCCCGTTTACAGCCTCCCAAGTACTGGGATTACAGGCAAGCGCCACCACACCCAGTCTGTTGCTGTCTCCACCACCAGGGATTGAACTCCCTACCCCAGCATCTGCCTAAGCAGGCGCTTTAATCCGCTGAGCTATTTGGCTGGCCTGTTTGTTTTTAGATACAGTCTCATTAAGTTGCCCAGACTGGACTTAAACTTGTGACAGTCCTGTCCCTTGAGTAGCTTGGATTATGGGTGTGTGCCACTGCTCCTGGCCTTCAACTTTGGTCTTTACTGTTTTGTTTCTTCTGCTAGTGCTGGGTTTAATTTGTTTTTTGTCAAACAGCGCATGAGGCAGTGCAGGTAGGGCATTCATTTCATATCTTTCTTCATTTTTAACATATGCATTCACTGCTCTACATTACGTCTCCCTCTTAACATTTATTTTGCTTTATCCAGTAAGTTTTAGTGTATTGTATTTATATTTTTATTCATTTCAAGGTATATTATAATTTCACTTATAGTTTTTTCCTGTTCCATTGGCTGTTAAAAAGTATGTGATTAAATTTCTACACACTTGTGAATTTACAGGGCTTTTTTTCTGGTATTGCTTTCCCATTCCATATCATTGTCATTGAAAAAGTTATTTTTGACTTGGATAGGGTTGTATATACCTGTTGTCCTAACTACTCAGGGGGCCAAAATGGAATTGGTATTGGTTAGACCTAATTGGTTGTTTCATGTTGTTCAAGTCCTGTGTTTGCTGGACGATAGTATATATTAGGGTTAGGGGAAAGCATGAGGGGTAAGGATCTCCACTGCCCTGTGCTGTGGAGAGCCAGCAATAAACTGCTGATCTGACAACTGCCCTGGTGCGCATTCCATGCCAGCAGAGAGACTGTAAAGTTAAATACTTAATATTTCAGCTGCCGTTGTGTTCAGGACAGAGAGAAGAAGTGTGTGGTGGGCAGAACTACTTCCACATTATAGAATTGTCAGGACAGTCTCACTGCTTTAGGTGACATCTTGAGCATAGCCCTGAGGACCTACAGAATGGCTTTTATGTGGAGGGTGCAGCCATCTTGACTTAAGGTTCCCCATGTACAAAGCAGAAGTAATTACACGCGCAGAAGTATGCCGAGGTAGAAATAATGGATCTGAAATCCCTGCCTGGGCTGCTGTATGTGTTCACAGTGACAAGAGTGATTTTGCTATGAGAGGCTGGTAATGATGATTTCCAGGTTGGGGACTTGGCCCAGAAACTGGCTGGAAGTTGGTCTGTGGCTTCTATATTGTCAGCCAGGGCCTGTTGGAGTGACGGTAAGGGAGAGAAAGGGCCTGACCTTGTATATTCCCCTTACAGGCTCATGGAGAGATTTCTCATGGACGGATTGTATCCTTTTAAGGCTTGAGCTGCCCCTTGTTCGTGTGACTCCTCCCATACTCATGTGCTAACATTATTTCCAACCCCTTTGCACCAGCAGCCTGGGAAGGAGCAAAGGGTAGCAGGCTTCCTTCACACAGTCTTCACACCAGTGGGCCACGTGACATCACAGTCAGTGCTGCTTTGGTTGGATCTTATATGACAAACATAATAGGAGTGGCTGAGCACACCTTGCCTGTCTTAAATGCCTGAATTCAAATCCTCCTCCTGCATTCCTCTGACTTGAACAAGTCACCTAATCTCTATCCTCAAGGAACAAGCCCTTTAATGTGATTTTTAAAAGTTTCTTATATGAATAAACTTTGTAAAATACAAATTACCATATCTCCCTCCTCTCATAAACTGTTGTATTGTGCAAATCTGAGGTGAGGCCCTCCCTGTAGCTGAGAAGTTTGCAATTCTTTTGTTGTTTGTTTTTATGGTGCTGGGGATTGAACTCTGGGCCTCACACATGTACCACTCAGCTATATCCCCAGCCCTTTTAATTTTATTATGAAAGGGGCTTGTAAGTTGCCCAGGCTAGCCTCCAACTTGAGATACCATTGCCTCAGCCTCCCGCGTAGCTGAGACCACTGCTGTGCAACAACATGCTCACCTAACTGGGAGACTTTTTAAAAGCTTCCCTGCTGGACCCCTGAAAACTGCAGGTGAGAAAACCCATAGAGGCCTGCTGCTTCTTGCCCTGGCACCCCCAGACAAGGTCTGTCTGCCTTGGATCTGTGTATAGTCACCTCATACCAAGTACTGCTGTGTGCCCAGTCTGCCAGCATCATTTTGGCTTTACTATTAAACTGTCCAGGATCTTTCCGCTTCAGAAGGCATTACCCCCTGGACTCCAAGCTAATACAAGTTTATAAAAGCTTATCAGCTGTCTGACTTGTGGGAGCTATTTTCTGTGGAATAGTCAGGTTGCTGCTAGCATTTGGATTTCCTTTTCGTCTTACAAAAGCTGCATCCAAGAAGGAGCTGAAGCACCCATAATTGTATTTTCCAGCTTCATGATTCTTCTGTGATAGCTTCTCTATAAAGTCCTGGTTCATGTTTACCTGAGGCTTAGATAACAAGAACATATTCCCAACTCCTGCAGCCCTTGCCCTTCAGTGGAGTTTTTGCCCATGAGAGGCTGAGCTTCAATCTGGAAGACTCATTCAGTGTGCAATCTAGGTAACTACAAAAAGAAAAGGAAGAAGTGGGCAGTTCCATCACACCAAAGACCTGCCTCACCATGCCATCCTAACTTCCCTTTGTTCATCTGATTCCTTAACCTGGGTGCAGTCAGCCGCAGCAGCTGTCCACATATGCCCTGACTCTGTATAAGCACACAGCCAATGTGGACGGCAAGACCATCCTCGTAGGTGAGCAGCACAGGTAGGGGCCACACCTGGCCTCAAGGGAAAGAAACTCAGAGAGGAGGAGGTCTTTGGAATGGAATCAGGAGGGTGAGAGGGAGAGCCAGGGCTAGGGAAGAGGAAGCAGACCCAGTGCCAGAGTGAGGACTGGTGTGTAGCGCAGGATTCAGAAAAGCACACTTCCTGAACATAGTGCACATGCCTTAATCCCTGTACTTAGGAGACATGGAAGCATTGCAAGTTTGGGGCCAGCCTGGGCTACATAGCAAATTCAAAGCCAGCCTGGACTGCATAAAAAGACTTTGTCTCAAAAAGAGGAAAGAAAGAAAATCAGTAAATACTGAGAGGCTGTACTGCCAGAGTTTGCTCTAGAGCACAGCGTGCTTGACCAAGGCAGTATCTTTTCTCTGATTCAGCCATTGTAAAGAAATAGCAAATGCAGCCAGCTCATTGTCTCCCATACTGGACTCAGCCGTGTGTAGGTCATAACCCCATTTGACCAGGCCATGCATCCTGCCTGACTGTCCACCATCTGTGGACACCATACACAGAAGTCCTGCATCTTGAGTAAGGGATGCGGGGACCTTCTGAGTAGTCTGTCTTGTCCTCCCCACTGGCCTCTGGCCCTGGTGCTCCCGTATTCACCAGCGTACATATCTCTCATAGCGTCTCCAAGTACTCTGTTCTGAGGACATGCTTCCCACATGTGTTCACATACTGTGGTTTGTACCATATATGTCTTATTTCCGTATACAGAGACATGCTCAGAAATCCTTGGGACATATGGATCTCTTTCCTCCAGCCTAATCAGGCAATTATAGCTGTGTTCATTTTGCAGACTTTTGGGATACAGCAGGCCAGGAGCGGTTCCAGAGCATGCATGCCTCCTACTACCACAAGGCCCACGCGTGCATCATGGTACGAGAACAGCTGGGAGGTGGATAAAAGTTCTGGGCAAGTGTGGCCTAAGGGTGGAGGAGACAAGTGGTTTGGCCATCCTGAGTCCTCCAACCCAGCTGGGTACTCTGGGAGAGGGGATGCAGACCACCAGGGGTTCTTCACACCCACATGATTCCAAGAACTTTCACATGTGGACAAGGTGAAAATGTACAAAGGAAAGGTAAAGAACTACCATACATGGGAATGCCGTAAGCTCAGGGGTCCACACATGTAATGCATAAGAGGTAAATCCAGCTAGGACAGAGCCTGGCCCCTCCCTAATTGAGCACATCTCTCTGAGGGGCTCCTGAGGCCTTCCTTCACTGTTGCCTGCTGCTCCCTAAGGACCTCGCTCATTCAGGGCATCCCACACCTCATCGCCATCTCTCATGTGCTGCACAGGGCCATCATCAGGATCCCAGCCAGGGGTCAGCAGGTAGTAAGCTGCGCAGGAGTGCCGAAAGTACAAGTGTGAGAGCAGATTGTGAGCCCCGTGCCCCTCAGAGTCCTGCTGTGGATGTCTGGCTCAGTTGCTGAACAGGAATGTCTTGTCTTTGGGTCCACTTAAACATTTTCATAAATATTAGCCGTCTTATAACATGAGAAATAATAGATTGGCTTGAGTCTTTTCATGTCTTTCCTCTAAATCTATCGCTGAGGAGCACCTCTAGCGTAATAGACTGATTTTCTGAATCATGAGCCCTTCCAGTTGTCATCAGGTGAAAATCTCTGACACTTAAGCTTATTAGAACTGCATTCAAAATCTTTATTTTATTTTAGGTGGTTTTTTTTTTTGTTGTTGTTTGTTTTTTAAGCCAGGAATGAAACTTACAACCTGGTGCTTGCCAGGTAGGCACTGTGCCACTTAGCTATATCCTGCATTCACAGTCTTGCTTTCACACAAAACTCAAAATCTGGTGGCATAGAACAGCCATTTTCTGCTGAGTCAGAAATCCATACAGCCTGGGCCCTCAGTTGAGAAGAACCCCAGGCTGGGTTGCCAGGCCTCTCCACATGCCATGGGCCGTCAGCAGGTCCTGCCCCACGCGTCTTTGTGCATGTCGTCAGTGGGCTGATGTGAGTTTGCTCACAGAATGCCTCTAGATCCCAAGAGTGGGCAGCCAAGGAGACCAAGGCAGGAGTCACAATCCTCCTATGGCCTGGTCCTGGAAGTGACATGGCTTCACCCTGGCTGTAGTCACAAAGGGAGGAGCAACGGCTGCTCTCAGGGTGGATACGTTGCCATCAGTAGTATCTGCAGTCTGCCCTGGCACTTCGTAGTCTGCCCCCACCTTGTGCATTGCCTATAGTGTACACAAGCTTGCTGTGACACTGAGCGGGTGTCATCTTATCGGAAGGGATAGCCGCTAAGGGGAATTTTGAAATGTTTCTCATTTTTCAAGCTTTGTGTATATGCATCCAGCTCCACGCAGCCTCCGATGTCCTGTCATTAGGACAGTTCTTTCCCAAGTGCACCACAGCAGTCTGACCACTTCTGGCACATGGATTCTACCTGTGGTTTGGATAAGCAAGGCACCAGGATGGAAAGACAGATGTTAGCTACAGGCGCTCACCAGCTGTAAGAACTGTGGGCGGATAGGTGTCTCCTCCTTCTCCTGAAACCTTTACAGGGCTTATCACTTGACTCCTCCCACAGTCTTTTAAACCCAGAGGATCTTAGAGTTTGTCAAGTTCCAATACTTGTAACCCAGAGTACTAAATAGAAGAAGGTGACGCAGCAAGGCCCAAGGGGCCATGCGGTGCTAGAGTCCACCCTCAGGAATAGGGAGATGGCCATTTCTATTTCATTCCTGCACTGGCCTTTGGTGTTTGAGCTTGCCTCTTTTCTAAGAATGACCTATATGTGATGTGTCAGTTAGTTCCTCTTAGACTCTCTTCTGAGACTGCTGGTCTGAGTTCCTAGCTTGTGTCACATTGACCTGCCTGGTGTGTATTTCACCTGTGGGTGGCGTGCAGAGACACTGACACACCCGAGCTGTCTGCCTTTGCCCTTTGCAGGTCTTCGATGTACAGAGGAAAGTCACCTATAAAAACTTGAGCACCTGGTACGCAGAGCTTCGAGAGTTCAGGCCAGAGATCCCGTGCATCGTGGTAGCCAACAAAATCGATGGTGGGGCCACCCTTGCATCTGGGTGAAGTGACTTGCGGGGACCCACCGCACACATTTCCTCCTCCCTTCCTGGCATGGGCAGGCTTCAGGATTTGTCCTCCTTCTGGAGATGCTCCCTCCCCAGTAAAAATCCAATTGAGCCAGCCCTCCCTTTTTCCAAGACACAGATCCCTGTCAGCTCTTCTGAGGACATGTTCCCTAGTTGTCTCCACTCCTCTTTCTGGCATGGGGTCTCCACTATCCCTCCCAACCTCTCTCCTTTTCCCTGAATGGACGTTGTCCTACTTCTCTTTGCAGCAGACCTACAAGTGACCCAAAAGAGCTTTAATTTTGCCAGGAAATTCTCCCTGCCCCTGTACTTTGTCTCAGCTGCTGATGGTACCAACGTTGTAAAGGTAAAGATCAATTTCAGAGGTAGTCTATGAGGTGGTACAGTCACAGAGAGGCTGTGGAGGGAAGGGATGGTAAGGACAAGAAATGGGTGCATGCCATGGGTGGGCCTGGGCTTGATGAAGGAGAAATCCTTGTGCATGGGGTCAGGTTACTGGGGAGAAGGTAGACAGAAGGGTAAACTTGACAGCTTCAGGGGGTCCAGGGCCTTTCTACCTGCTGCCTTAATCTTCATGTAACCCGCAGCTCTTCAATGATGCAATTCGATTAGCTGTATCTTACAAGCAAAATTCCCAGGACTTCATGGATGAGGTTTTGGAGGAGCTTGAGGTAGGTAGGGTCCAATATTGGGTGGGATAGAAAAAGCAGGCATTCACTTCAGAGATGTGGAATATAGCCAGATCTAGTGGGCTTTGCCTTCCTTTGCTACCTCTGAGTGGATCAGAACTACTCTTGGGTAAATGTGGAGCCAGGCCTCACCTATGACCTTGTTCACAGAACTTCAAGTTGGAGCAGAAAGAGGAAGATACACCAGACCAACATCAGAGTGGCCCAATCAAGGACCTGTCCCTCTCCTGATCAGAGGGCAGCCTGTGTGGCTGATGTAGGATCTGACTTGGGAATACCCTGCAGCTCTGAATGGAGAACCTCTCCAAGCCATGCCTACTCAGCCTCCTACTGTCCCACCTCTGGTGCAGGATGAGGTCAGCACCAGCACACTGCACAAGCATAAAGTCCTTCCTGAATTAGGGGTTGGTGTCTTTCACACCACCCTGCCCAACCCGGCCAACAGTGGAGAGAATCCAGAAGTGTCTCTTTAGTAAATAGACTTTCAGATGGCTGGACTGTTTTCTTCCCAAAACTGATCTCAGGGACTATTCCTCATACCTGTGCTAAGAGAATAATTACTTATCCCTAGTTACACCAGTTCCCCACTGCAGGATGTGTGAGGCTCGGTTCTCTTTCCCCTGTAGCTCTAACAGCAACTATTTAAAAGATGTTTTCAAGCAGACAGATTGTAGTTCTTTAAGCACCTACTGTTTCAGATCTTGTAGGTCAGGCAGACATTACAGGAACAGGTTTGACATTTAAATTGTTAAAGCAGTTGTCAGGTATATAGCTGTATTTGGTCACACACAAACACTACTGTTGGCAAACATCAGATTGTACAGCCACACCGCAAAGGAGCAGCCATCTGGATCACAGGAAGATGATTTTCATAGTGCTCCTTAGAGCCTCTCAGAATGGGAAGGTTTCCTCCATTACTCTGGGAAGAGGTGATCACTGCCTACCTGGGTGATCAAGTGAGGAACTAGAGGAAAGCTGCCTTTCCTCTCTCCCTGGGAGCCATGGCTTGATAGTATGCTCTTATTATCATCTATGGAATTATTTGCATTGTGGCATTAATTTATTTTGGTTTTTATACAGTAAAAATTGAATTACAATTATGCATTCTTTCTGGATAAATGTCTACTAAGAAAAAACCCCACATTAATGAGGAAGACTGCCTTGGTCAGCCACAGGCGAGCCTGTGTTAACTGTGCACTGACCACGTTGTTCAGGCCCACTGCTGCTTGGCTGACCCTAAAGGAGGCCATTTTAGTGGAATTTACTGGTTTAAAAAGTATAGGTATTATTTTTGGAGCTCCAGAACACAAATGATTCCACTTTAAATAAGTGGGTTTTACCTAAGCAAGTACTCTACCACTGAGCTACATACAACCCTAGCCCAGGAAGTAGTTGTTGTTTTTAATGCAAATGACTTTATTGGGATTAACGTCATTCACTAAAATTCACTATCAAGAGCTGGAAATATAGCTGCCTGGCAACTAGGAGGTCCTGAGCTCAATTCCCAGTACCAAAAATAAATAGCAGCTAGGGATTTGGCTCAGCAGTAGAATGCTTACCTAGCAAGCTGAAAGCCCAGGGTTCAGTCCTCAGCACAAAATACAAAAAATCCTCTCCTAAAAAATATTTCAGGGCCAGCGCGATAGCTCAGTAGTCTAAAGCGCACAGGGACCACAGTCTGATCCCTGGCACCACATGCCGCGCCAGCCCTACCCCCAGGGTGAGCTGAGCCAGCCACACACAAAATTCAACCAACAAAATAGAATAAAATTTTTAAAATTCACTATCAGTATTAATTTTACATTACTTTTTCTTTTTTTTTAAATCCCGCTTGCTAGATGCAGAGTCTGAAAAGGTGACTGTTCAGACGTCTTAGTGGGATCATTCTTAGATGAGTAGGGATGAGAAAGTGCAGGAAGTGAGAAGCTGAGCAAGGTCGCCGTCTCAGCGGGAGCGAATCTCAAATCGCCACCATTCCCAGGAATGCTCTGGAGGACAAACTGCCCCAAAGTTGTCCTGTCTCAAGACCAGGGACCTCTTGTGCCAGTCAGCCAAGACTGTGAGGTCAGCAGGGAGTCAAGTGGCTCCACAGTATTTAGGGCACCTCCCTGGGGAGGATGACAACTAAGTTTTATTCATCCACACTCTTGATACAATGCTCAGGCTGAGTGCCAGCATCAGCAGCCAATTCTGCTCATATCCACCTACTTCAGTGGTTCATTCTAACCTTAAGATAGAGTTCCCCCAAGTTTTTCACTAGGGTCACACGTTCTAGAAAGGCAGTCAGCACAACAGGAAAACCCTCTGTGTTGAATCCTTTTGGAAGCCGAAAGCCATCTCACTTTTCTACCACCACCACCTTGGCTACCAGTTCTGCTGGTCTCTGTTGTTTGCCTGGCTGGGGAGATAGCTCAGCAGTCTTAAGTACCTGCCTGGCAAGCACAAAGTCCAGAGTTTGATCCCAGGTACCACATACCATGCTGGCTCTGGAACCCCAGGCACCTCGTGCTGGCCTGAAACCAGGTGTGGTGTACACCTGTAACCCCAGCACTGGGGAGTCAGACAGGATCACCATGAGTCCAAGCTGTGTAGTGAGACCTTGTATCAAAAAAAAAAAAAAAAAAAGATCACCTAAGCACTGAGACGAGAAGGGCCTCGTTCTCCCCTTCATCCTGTGCTAGACAGAGAAGGAGGTGTGGCTTGGCTGCAGGCATCACCTTGCTTTCCTTTGCTCTCCCTGGAGAATGAACTGGAACTACTTGCCTCTTGTCTCAGTGCCCTCATGCCACCCATGAAGTTGCTTCACAGTCACTCTGGGCCACTTCTGTGAAAGAAAGTGCAGCTCAGCCCTTGATGGGCATTTTTCCCATTCACTACTCCAAATACCTGGCCCTAATATGGCTAAGATCACAGCAGGCAGAATCTGGGCCCATGATTAACACCCTCAACCTCCCCAAGCCTCAAAAAATTGTGTTGAGCACAGCTTCTTGAAGATTCCTGTTTTAATCACACCATTTTTCATGAACATGAAATAGCTGTTAATCAAACCTTTTGCAACTCTCTGGCATTTTGTCAAACTGTCACCATGACAGCTGCATCAGTCCTGGATGTACTACCGCCTCTTAGATCATCACAGGCCTGCCTGCACCTGGACCACACAGCTGGACCAAATTTGAACCAAACAGAAGCCTACACTTGAACCAATCGCAAGTCTGCAGCTGCTGACTTTCCTCACACTTCACAGATTACTCTATGGAGGTCCCTTCTGATGTACTGACCACTCTGTAATGCTGCACAGCTCCTGTTAAAATCTGCTCATGAAGGGGCCAGGGAGATGGCTCAGTGGAATAAGCGCTTCCCTGGCAAGTGCAGGGGCCTGAGTTCAATTCCCAGTTCTGCAAAAACAAAACAAAACAAAAAAACCTCAAACTTCTTGGACTGGTGAGATGGCTCAGTGGTCTAAAGCACCTACTTAGAACAAGCTTAGCAAAGCACAGGGACCGCGGTTCAATCCCCCAGCACCACATGCCAGCCAGCCCCGCCCCCTGGTGGGCTGAGCTGGCCACACACGCACACACACACACACACACACACACACACACAAATAAATGAAATTTAAAAAAAAAATCTGCTCATGAGTTGTCTTGGACTGTTTGAGTTAGGAAGATCCTGTAAATCTACTTGGCACACTTATCCTGAGAGCTGTAAACACTAGGGCCTGTTAGCCCTGAAGAGGTCCAGAAACCAGCACCCAGCAGAGCCAAGTCAGTGGACTACAGGATAAGCCAGCGTTGAATGATGGTGGCAAGCAGTAGCATAAACCAGCACCTGGCAGTGCCATTAACTGGTGTCAACCAGTGGTATTAAAACTAATAGCAAGGGCCAGCCAGATAGCTCAGTGGATTAAAGTGCCTGCTTAAGCAGGCGCAGGACTGGGGTTTGATCCCCACCGTGCTATGCTGGCCCTGCCCCAGTGACGTGCTGAGATGGTGATTGAGATAGCATGGTGGCACATACCTGTAATCCCAGCGTTTAGGAGGCTGAAAACAGGAGGATCACTGAGTCCTATCTATACAGTGAGACCCTGTAGACCCTGTACTAAATACATACATACATACATACATACATACATACACTGACAGCAGAGCTATACTTCACTGATGCGTGATTTCTATCTGAATCGACCCAAAGAGCCCTCAACTAATGGGCAACAGTCCCAAATGCATTCCTCTGTTTCTATTATATAGCAGCATTCTTTCCTCCTAATTCTGATCAGGGACAATTTCCTGTTTTCAGAATACTAATTCTTCACTTTGCTTGCCAGTTTACTAGCACATAGAGAACTGAGGAAGCAATCATGGCTTTATGTTCTTGTGAAACTTACTGTGTACCTTAATGGAAAACCTGCATTCATAAAACCTACAGTTGCAGACAGGAAATGCAAATTCCCCAAGGGTAGCAGTGAGCAGGGCACTCCTGTCTCCACTCTGGGACACGGGATACAGAGCTCTATATTGACAACTGCGTTGTATGCCACACCCTGAAGGGCCCCATCCCAACAGGGTGTCTCCTCCAAGCTGACGGCTTATCTGGGTCTTTAAGAGGGCTTTTGCTGCTCTTTTGGAGCAGTAACTTCTGGACCATGCAGTGTCTAGTGCTAGCACTAGCTATGTGCCACCATTATGTTGCTAGGCAATAAATAAGCGTCTTGGTCTGAGGTGATGTTTTGCAGGATCCTATATCAATAGAATAAAACTTGGGTGGCTCTGGAGACTGACACCCTGCACGGCAGGCACTCCAGGCAGAAAAGGCAAGTCCACAGCTAGAACATTCCAGCTCATTGTTTTCACTCAAAGTGAAACATGTTTTTGAGGATGGGGTAGACCAATATGATCAATTTGCCACCAAGGTCTTTTCAAAAGATACTAGATGTCAGGGTTCAGTGCTGATCTCTACTGAACATGCATCAGGTCAGCCTTGGAGCCCATATAAAGTCTCCAGCTTGGCCACTGTAACCACCCTTGCTCCTGCGCACTTGAATGAGTACCGGGGTGGCCAAGCACAAAGGCTGACTGGCATCTATGGTCTACTTTGTCACTCAGGGCCTCTTTTGCAATGATATACTCTACTGACTATTAACCTACAAAATGATTATTCTCTGCCTTTGTATCCACTCCAACAGATTCATCTTCATGTCTTTCCTGAAGGCTATTTCTCAACTAACAATAATTGTATATGTTCATAGTCTTAAAGACTTCCTTGTATCTGAACACTTATTATCTTGCTCCTCTCAGATTAAGCCTATAAATCTACAAATCCCTAATGTTAGGCCACTTCCTCCTATATAATGTGTGTGGCCTTTTGCATTGCCTGAAACTCTACCCATTTAGTTTCCCTTTGCCACTATCTTTCAGTGTCATTTCCCAGGGGTCAGCAGTCCATTTTTGGCAGCCTATGTAACAAGCTGACCCAAACCAACACACTTCTAGTTTTACCAGTGTGGCAAGCTCCAGTATATTTGTAGGACTTACCTTCCACCCTCTCGAGTGCATGTATCCTATCAAGATAGCCAGAGCATTTAGCTCCCCAGGCCCAATTCACATGCAGTTGTCAACACAGTAAATTAAAATTATGTTCTGTGGAAAATCAGGATGGTGCAGTAGC